ATAAAAATGACAAAGATGTACAGACTAACTTGTAGGTGATTTCTGGTATTTTTCATGTTGTAAATTTATGTCGTCAGCTATTAATAAGAAAACAAACTTAGATCACTCTGATTTAAGGCGACACACCCTCCTGCCAGCGAATGCTTTACCTTCCATTTAAGTGATAAACTTCCTTTGACTCTGCCAACTGAGATTGCTCTGTCTGCTGTCTGCTGCAGGTAAGATATGGACCACACACAGAACCCGACTTCAAAACAACCAAACTATGCCCTTAAGAGTTGCAGGCATTGGGAGGCAGCAACATTCCTCTTGTATCTATGAAGATAAATCAAATCCAGGCTGCTTTATGGCATTGTAGTTCAAAGCAGTAAAGCGCTGTCATACAGGCATGCACTCACATTCCAAGCACTTTATTAAAAACAGCTTTAAACCTCCATTGAAATGTGTGAAATGTTGTTGTTCACATCAAATGTGAAGACAGTTTTTCTTAAAASATCTACGGCTTTGGTTGTTGGTGCCATATGAACTGGTCCAAAATGGAGAGAAACTGTGCAGATTGAAACAACTAGCTGGTAWGAAAGGTTGGCAGAAAACGATTATCAGAGCGAAAGATTCAAAAGGTGTTAATAAATGTGTCAATTTCAAACTAGAAAATATTTTAGCTCGCTTATTGGATCAGAAAGTGGAGATGGCAGGAAGAATATGAACATGCACAGCACAGATTAAGGATTAATTGCTTTGCTCACTTTGGGCTCCATATAATCAATCACTCATTATCTYATTACCAAAGTCCCTTTGGATACTAATGCTGCAGAGTTAACCATCTTTCCTCATGATCCATGCTAATAGGATGATGCAAAAATAATAGCAGATTTGCTTCATGCAGATGAGATTCAGTGGATTTTAGTGCTCCCACCCCCCAGTCCTAAATTAAACCTGCATTGAGGGACRGGAAAGTGCATTCCAGGGTTAGTTTGTGCTCCAAATAAAGTGCTTGGTGAGTGTACAGAACAGTATGCTTTCATGCAAGATTTATTTTTATTTGCAAATCAGAAGTGCAATTAATGTCAAATTGCAACTGCAGTACAAGACCAAACCACAAAGGTGATTTAATTTTTTTTTAGTTTTGAGAAAACAAACAAAGAAATACAATGTTATTTAAAAATATTTTTTTCTGACTTTAATTGATAATTGCAACAAATTTCAAAAGAAAACATGATTAACCTGTTGGTACCTTAAAGATATTGAGATGAATCAGAGAGGAAAGTCAAATACAGTATTAATAATAACCATCATTTTCTTTAAAACATACTAAATTCATTAAGTTTCTTTATGGAAATATAGAAAACAAAAAATATTATGCGTAAAATGATTATATGTCAGAAATTCATATTAACTGGTGTTCCTCAAGGACCTATTTTTGAACTCTTGTTTTTAATTTAGATAAATGATTTATTCAAGATCTGCATATCTTCTTTAATTTATATATTGATAAACATCATGCATAAATGTTATTTTTATTTATAAATAAATATATTCTGATAATTTGTTTTATATGAAAACCCTATCCAGATGTATATGAAATAAAATATTTTGTATTAAAACAAAAGGTTTTCAAAATTGAAGGTTAGATTTCTTTAAGACAAAACTAAAATGTTTCTTTTTCCTCAAAACTGACATGGGAAAATTACATAAATGCATTTTTATTAAACAGAAGTGCAAGAAAGTGGTTTGCTGGTGACTCCAGGTTTTTTTTTTACATATATGAAATTTCGTCAGTTTGAAGAAAACACTATATTTAACAGACTAGATTAAGCCTGTAAAAAGAAATTAGGCCAGTAAAGTTTTAAATTATTTCATTCATAAACAGTTTTTATGTTAACTATTCATTCATTCTTATACTGTACTGACGTATCTCATAAGAATGTTAAAAAAAAMCCTCTTATAAATTATAAATGTCTACAAAATAAGCACCTCTTTTAATAAAATATTAACATCATCTATATATCTAATCCAACAGGCTATTTTGATTTAAACATGCTTTTTATTACAGGTGTAATAATATATTGGATCAAGGCAAATTGTTATCTTTGTTACTAAAAAGGAATAAAACAATAGATTTATGGTCAGATATCAATCATGTAGTTTGGTCCTTACTGCATTGATTTTTCACTTGGAATTTGTTTTCATTGTGCTGACAAAAGTGGTTGCAACAAGCAAGGTTGCGCAAAAAGTTGAATCAGGAGGGGGTCACAAAGGAGGGCTTCAAGAGGAGGAAAGCAAGGATTCTCTACGAGCCATGCGATGGAATCGTATTGTTTACCCCCTGACATAGATGTCAGACATCTTCTCCCCTGTCATGAAAGCATCGTCCTCTAGAATTACGTCATCAGTGTTCCAAATAATAACACGGAGCTCAAAGCTAGATGCCAGCCGAGTAGTGACCGGAGAGGAGAGAGAGGACGACAAGACAGGGAGCAGGGAGACACAGCACACAAACAGAGACATGGCACAAACACGCACACAGAGAAAAAATGGGAACAGAACAAAAAAATAATGGTTAACAGCAAACAGAAAAAAAAAAATCCACATACAGCTCACACCCACGAGATGAGGCTAAAGGCTGCCTTATCTCATTATACCTACCCCCTGACAAATATGTCACTGGACTTTTCTCCAGTGAAGTAATCATCGTCTTCCAGAATTACTTCGTCTGTATTCCAAATAATCACCCTGAGCTCATATCTAGTAAGGGGAGGAGGAAGTAACACAGTTGGACTTCATTTAAGTTTCTGTAAATCTAAACTTAGCTGCTCAAATTGACTTACCATAACTTAAACTGGGGATAAAATATGTTCTGGTTTACAAGCAAAACAAATCTCCATCTGGCTTAATTCTTATCAAGGTAATAATTTATCAGAATAAGAAAATATATTCAAAGTTCCATTTGTTTTACTTTCCCCATCAGGACGCACCTCTTTGGTTTTCGTGGGGAGATGTCAATTGCAGGTCCAGGTGCAGGCATGTCCATGGGAAACATATCGACCCACATCTCAATGCGACCCTTAGAAGGCAAGAGAACATGTGTGTGAGGTGATCTGCTCTATTTTCTGATTCTGAAGATGGTGACCGCTAGTGTTGTAGTCAAGACCACCTAACCCGAGACCAAGTCAAGAGCAAGACCGAAGTGTTTCGAAACTGAGACGAGACCAAGTCTTTGGGGGCTGAGACCAAGTTGAGACCAAGACCAATGGAAGACAAGACGAACAAAAATACATAATTAGCAATGATTCACGCCTGGATTTGAATCGGTACGTTTTACATCCAATGAAAACATGGATGTCAACATTTTGGGCGATATTCTGGCAATTTAGTGATATTTCCACAATCGTGGTCTTGAAACAAAATTCAGAGTCCTCAATGTCCAAGACAAGACCGAGTACAAATGCGGCCAAGTCCAAGGCAAGACATAGACCAACAAAATGTGGTCTTGAGACCGGACTTAGACTTGTCTCGGGTTCTACAACACTAGTGGCTGCTTCTACCTACCTGTTCTATTCCGGGTTTGTCAGGGTTCAGCAGCGGTCTGGTCTCTACGTGTTCGGGAACGAGCTTGCAGCCGACTCTTGGGATCTCCTCCCAGTGGTTCAGCACAATCAAGGCTAAATGCTCCTCAGTCTGCTTCTTCAGCCCTGGGTGATTGACATCAGCACAAAAAGAAGAAATTAATGAAAAAAGATAACAAAATATATAAAATACGACTCATCATTGGTACAATAAATTGTACTTAATTGTCAGAAAAACATAGCTTTACCATTTTCATCCTCTATCTCGGTTGGTCCAGTAAAGATTCGATTTGCCACCTTGACTTTTCCTCCGGGCCCATAATGAGGTCCATCAATCTTTCCATCTTTGCAGAGCTTTGCCAAGATCTGACTGGGTTTCATGGGGTCCCTCCAAACATTGTACCCATGTCTAATATCAACAGATGACAGAAATTTAGATCAATGAAAGAGACTTTTGAGAAGCCGCTGTTAGTTTGCTTTTATTTCTCTAAGGCATGCAACCTAAACCAATAATACACGACAGATAAAACACTGGTGCTCACACGGAGTAGTTGGATGAAAYGCCGCATGTGGCCCTGAATATGCTGTAAAACCGATTCTCCAAGTCGATCTTCGTCTCTCCGATCAGGTCGTCTGTGCCGACCAAATCCCAGTCGTACACAGACACCGTTAACATGGACTCCATGGGGAACGTGGCCTCAATGTCAAATGATCTGACAGGCAGAGAATTTAAAGGGGCAATATCATGTAAAATCAMCTTTGAGTTTTATATCATGTTATAATGTTATAATCTCATAAAAACATGCCCAAAGCCTTGCTCTGACTCATTCATGCATGTTTGAGAAATCCTGCAGTGTTTTTAGGAAGCCATGCTGAGGAGCAAAACGACAGGTGGGGACCAGAAACACCTTTTGGGACCAGAAACGCGCCTGGGGCGTGTCTTTAAGCCAAACTTCAAGTAGGGGTCTTTGCGGACGAGTGGGCRTGTCCCAATGAAAGGCGATTCTAAAGCGACACACCTGATTTGAYGGACTTTKTTAAAKGGACACACCTGACTGGACAAGCAAAAAAAGGGGCGACAACGTACGGCACCACCTGATTGGACAAGAACAAAAGGGGCGTTACTGTACGGCACCACTTTTTCTGGAGACCCCTACTTGGGTCACATTTCTCCTGGTTAACCTTAGTGTTGGGGTCAGGGTCAGGCTGTATAGAGGTCAAGCAGGGTCTAACGATACCGTCATGTAGGCCTTGTAGCCCACAGTGTTTATGCTTTAGGCACGCCCACTCTTGTGACACGCCCACTTTGAATCCGCAGATAACCCCTTCTCAACTTCCTCATCATGGAGCACACCTCCCCACCCCGCGCCCATGACTCCTGCAGGCTGTCGGCAGTAACATAGCAAACGAGTGAAAGTGAAACTTAAACTGTCTGCTTCTCTTAACACTACTGCTCACTCAGTGAAGCTCTTTTCAGATTCAAAATACCTTTGAGGAAATGTATCTATTTAAACATTAAAAACAACTAAAGGTGACATTGATACTTTATTGTGGTATAGTATTTAAACGTATGCCTGAGAAACACATAATATTGCCCCTCTAAGGACTAAATAGTGGATTTTACATGACGTGTCCCCTGTAAGCTGTACTATAACAAAAAAATTTAACTCCAAGTTTCTTTATAGTTTGAGTTATTCAAGCACAACTACCAGCTAATACGCACTTCTGTTTACATTTTTAAACTGTCCTTACCCCATACCAAAAAACTAATCCAAAATACAATCGTCTTACAACACAAACACAAAGTTACTCCCCAAAAGAAAAAGAAAATAGCATGAATGTATTTATAAAATGCAGGTTTCTGTTCACTTACTTGCCAAATACAGGATTGAGCTGCTTGGAGATGTAGTTCTCCTTGTCTTTGACCTCTGACTTGCCCAGCTTAATAACAACGTATGGATCAGCCTTCCCATTGATATCAGCAGGATGGAGGTCTGTTGCCTGARAAGAAGAGACAAAATGAAATGATTTTAGCAACTTAATACTTTCCGACACTGAATAAATGTTAACATTTCCAACTACTACCCACCCTGACCACATAAACTCGAACAAGGACGTTGATGGGATCGTTGTGWGGAATGCTCTGAAACATTCCCATATTAGGATCAAACCCTGCCTCTCTWGTGATCTCCTGAGATAGAGGTAGCTTGTACATACACAAGGAACCCTAGATTGCAGGAAAAAACATGTTAGGCAGCATGAAAATAACCTGAGTCCGTTGAGCCATAAATATTACCACATAACCGGTCCTACCTTGAATCTGCCCACAATCCTGTCATCATCCAGCGCGTGTTCGTCGTCATCTCCAGCCTTTCCTCTGTACAAGTTGAAAGTATGAAGCCAGTCCTCGAAGTTGCCRTACTCATTCTCTAGCTCCTTATTGAACACCTTTAAAAATAAGTCAGTCCAAATAATGTTTGAGTGGACTCGAAGATAACTACAGCTTTTATCCAACTCTACACTCACCATTAGCTCATCTATTTTTGCTCTGACTGGCCGTTTCTCTGTGCCGTCTGCAGCCTGACTCTTCTTCTTGTCCTTGGAGCTTTTCTTCTCTTTACTTTTTTCCTTCATTTTAGAGCCTCTCAGAAGAAGGTCATCAGATCTGTTATCTGTTCAGAAAGGCAGACAAAGCAGAGGTGTAGTTGTGAAGAAGGTTGCCCACAATGTATTACATGAAAACTGAGGAAAGTAAGTTTCCCTGAATCGGATGTACTTAAATTTTTCATGCTTAAAGGGTGGGGGTATTATGCACAATTGGGTTTTTAGAGCTTTGTATCATGTCATGTCATTCCCTCATCAAAACATACCCAGAGTGTTGCTTTGACTCATTCATGCATGTCTAAAAAAACCTTGAATCTCCTGTGGTAGCCACGCGGAGCTGCCTAAGCACTTGCGCGTACAAAGCTCCGCCTATTTACCCAAAGCTCCTCCCTGGAACTCACGCCCCAGCCAAGCTCCAGCCCCACAGAACACCAGTCTCCTGCACCTCTCCCACACACAGACCCAAGAAAACTACCATTTTACAACACTCCCGTGAAAGGTTGTAAACCGCGTGAAGCGTTGTTGTGAAGATGTGCTGAAGTGGGAGTGTCAAAAATGGTAGGAGGTTCTTAAAGAAACAGAGGTCAATTTCAAGGTGTTTCTATGATACAAAGTCAAATTTCTTTTTTAAATAAACAGCATTTTATAACAAATGAAGGTAACACAGTTACTTGATTGTGGTATAGAATTGAACTACCGTATTTATTCAAGTATAATACATAAAATTAAATCCATAAAATCATCCATAAAGTTGGGGGGTAGTACTATACTCTGATAAATATTTTAACTTCTGTATTTTAACTGAAATATCAGCTTCATTCACCAAATGCCTGAATCCGGAAATGAGATCGCGTCGTAAAAAGCTGTTGAAGCGAACTTACTTCTGACACTCCTTCGTGCTTCAGAGCGAGATAATAACAGATCCAGGCAGGCGACATGATGTGAAAAAAAGTTGTCCCGCACCTCAGTAATGATAACGAACTAATGACATTAGCGTGTGACTGGTCCGCTCCTCGAACAACAACAAACACATGCTCGTCTGTAATGGCGGCCGTCTACTGGTGTTCTGAAAA